ATTGCAATGCTAATCTTTTTTATATAATCTTTTGTGTCAAATTTTAATCATAAGTAATATTTATAATTTTATAAATTACTGTTAATTAATCTACAGATGCATATTTATATGCATATAAGTATTTGAAACTCCCTACCAAAGTATTGAATAACTGTGATTCAATTATAACAATTCAGTGTGTACAGAATAGTAAAATACAAGAAATTCTTTAGAGTTTTAAACAGGAAATGGTAAAGATTTTCAGGAAAGTGTCTCAATAACAAAACTAAACAAAGCACTTTAGCACAGTACCCAGAGAGTACACAAAGGAGGCTATTTTAACTCTGGGTTTGGATCCTTTTCTTCTTCTAAGAATTCTATCCACTGTGTTTCTTTGGTCCCTTGAACCTGCACTTTGCTTCCATGTCCATCAATTCCATCCGACATGTTTGCTTATTGTATGTGTAAGTTATTAAGAAAGTGTTCTTTGTTCCAGTATTATTGTTCTCATCCCCCAAATATGTCTTCAGTTACCAGATGTGCTACCTCCAATTCAGAAATCTTATGATGCTTTATTCAGTATATAAAAGTGAATCCCTTTCCAACCTTATTCCTTCTTACTTTTTTGATTTCTATTCTAATATTTACAAAGGGCTCCATGTATGCTGGGCATTCTGTGTCTTCAATGTTCTCTCCCTCTTCTTCTTTTTCTTTCTCTCCTTTCTCCCTGAATTTCTCAGTTTTTGTATTTCATTCAATCTCTCATTTCTCTTTTATCCATCCTATGACAATTACTATTTTGATTTTCAGTCTAGTTCAAATGTTAAGCCTACATACCAAGCTTTGTGAACCCGAGGAACAAATTATACATCCACAATAATATGCTCCTATCACTGGAGTGCCCTATGCCTTTTTTTTAACCATAAAGCTGCTGCATAAGATAGTGACCAGGCAGTCTTTCATTTATTTTCTGCACTGATTGACACTTAATTCATGAACACACAGAAATATTTATATGTAACTTATTTATTTAAAACACTTGTATGATTGAACTTGGCCTTTTGTTACTTCTCACATTTAAGCAAGAGATTATTTCTTTTATAAATTTTTTAAATTATGTGTTGATTTATATAGACAAAATAGTACCTTAATTAATAAAATTGACAACTGTGACATTGGGGTGATATCATTCCAGCCAGACATCTCTTGCTCTTGGGCCTCTCAGCCACAAATGGGTCTTAAATGCTCCTTAAACAGGCCTTGCATGTGTGCTTCCATGACACTGCCTATTAGCTATTTAGCATTTCTATTTCAGTTTCTCATTCTGAAGTCATCAATTTTACTAGGAATTCTTATTACATTTTTGATATAAAAAATTAAAATTAGTAATTTACTCATGAGTAAGCATAAATGTCAAGGCAAACAACTTGCTTTTTCAAGGAGGATGAGTTAAAAGATTAAATACAGAAATAAAATTCATGTTTGTGAATATAGTAAGCATTATAAAATAATGAAAATCTGTTTCCATTGGAGATTTAACACATATTTCTTCCTGACTTTGGAAAATCATTAGTTATGGGTTCTATTGTACCAAGGACAGACTGGTCCTTTCCAGTCACTTACCCTCTGACAGCATGAATAAGTCTCAGTGATGGATAGGCAGTTCGCACTTTGAGTTTATTCTTAAGGATTAGTGCATTAACCCATTCCACGTGCTTTTCTCCTCCTTTCACCATGAAGGCCGGAATCCAAAGGACACTGTCATTCAGCATGGAAAGTCTATGCACAAATTTTTCTCTGTCACTCTCATTCCGAAAGCCTCCAAATGCTCTTTGCACAACTGATGGATTCATGGTAATAAAATCTGACTTAGTTCCCACATCTGCAGCAAACTCCACCACTGGAGCTAGATTGCACCTGAAGAGGACAAAAAATTAATGGACAGATGAAAGATAAATATGGAACTGTCATTCATAAATGATGTGGACAAAAAGAACAATTAACTAGAGTGTTCTTTACAGCAGGTGAAAAAAATTCCCTAAATAATCTGCCTAGTAAAATTACATGTTTTCAATAAATCACCACAACTTTAAGAATATTGCTTTTGTTCCCTCCCAGTGAAGGGCTCCAGGTGCCACTTACAGTTGACTTGTAGTATGAGAATATTTCTAGGTATCATCTTCACAAAATCATATGATAGGAATTTATAATAAATGAGTTCATGGTGGGAAATTCACAAGGGCTCTGATGTCATACTATCGACAATCTAAATCACAAGTTGTTGTATAAGTTAGTAAAACATTGCACGTGATGGTCCAATTTGTCCAACTTGTCAAGATTAAGTCTTTTCAACATCTTTACATGTATCACTGAGTGAATTTGTATTTTCTATATTCTGAGATAAAAGAGAATACCATTCCTTATAGAATTGCCCAGAAATATAGTTTTAAATGTCTTCATTAGTTCTACATAAGGAATGAAATAAGGAAATAAAGTTGTCCTATATAACTACATTTCTGAGATTTTTAAGGAAGGTAGGAGAAATATCATCCTAGCAATTTCTTCAGAGTATCCTGTAGATTCTTGCTTTGGGGTCTAGGGAATGCTTATGAAAGAAAGAGACACAATTTGTGGTTCAGATGTATCTATGGGAATCATAAGGCTATGAAATGAGCTTGTGCCTACTTTTACTCATGCAACATGATCTCACTCTATTAATGTAAGATAAATTTAGAAACCTCTTTAAATCTTGAATGCGTCTCTGACTTGTGATGTATTTTTTTAAATCTATCCCATTAATCATGGATACTTGACTTAAGAAAACTCTAGAATATCCCTGTTTTCACCCTTTTGAAAGGTGCGTGTTTTACATTGAAAATGAAAAGCTAGATTTTGTTTTTAAAAATATTTACTCTTTTTAAACAGAAAGATATTTAAATGTATTTAATCTGTGCTTTACCCAAAACATACACATATATACAAAATACATCTTTGTAATCTTTTTCTTTTAAATGATTTAATATGTCTTATAGTTCAGTGATGCTTAAGATTTGGTTGCTTCACAAAAGGCTTTTACATTTTTCTCCCTGTGTATTTTGAAGAATTACTTAACTTCTCAAATAAGTTAATTTTAATTTAAAATTAAAGTTTGTGTTTTATTTGTTAAAATAGTGTCTTGTAAATCTTTTCTTTTTTCTTCTAAATTAACCCTTTAATTTTTTTCTAAACCTCTTATGGCATTTACCTATAACAGCAAAGCATTTTCATCTCATGCTATTAAGCATATTCTCTGTTCTCTAAAGTAAGCTATTGAGTGGGGGAATGAAGTGTATTAATATACACTATTATTTACATATTGCAGACAAAATATATTTTTCTTTATCATTATGCACACTACATAGTATAATACATTATAATAATATGTAATATAATATTAGTTAATTTTGCTAAGATCCATGTCATTAAATGAGATGAAGTATTAATCATCCTTATTACAATAAGGCCAATAGTAATCTTAGTAATCAGATATTCCTAAAAAGTCATCACTAAACATGAACTTATGTGTATAGTGATAATCATAGGGATTCATGATTTGATGACTCATTTTTGTTTTGTTTTGTTTTCTTTTGGCAGGGTCCTTTATAGCCTAAATTGGCCTCAAAGGCACATATAGTCAGTGCCGACCTTAAACATTCTATGTTGTTCAAGCTGACCTGTCCTCTGGATCCTCCTGCCTCCACCTTTCAAGTACTAAGATTACAGACATGCACGACCATTACTATAATATTTGAAGTTCAAAATTAGTATCACAAAAATAGTAAAATATAATCTAAAATACCATTTTGGTTTTTTTTCCTTGTATAATTTTATTGAATTTTTGTGTACTTCATGTAAAACATTTTAATAATCTTTATACTCTGTCCACCATCTGCATATTCCTCGCCCCCCACCCCCTACTGGATTTCATGTATTTTGTCAGATATGTTAAAGCCTATCAAGTCTAATATCTCAAACAAGCTGATTATGACATAAATTTGGATACAGTAGTGAGAAGTGTATTCTAAGAATCATTATTATAGATGTTTCTTTATGTAAAATCCAAAAACGTGTTAACATTAAAGTTTCCACGAATAAATAAAAATTTAAAAGAGACTAAATGATCCTGTCTGGAGATATGCATTATATGAGTCTTCTGCCACAAAGACAAGGGAAAACAACAAAAAAAGTCAGCAATGACATTCTTTCAAAGGTTCTTACTGCAGTTAACAGCTATACTTTATTTTCTCCATAACATAAAAATATCAGAAACAATTATGGGGACAAGATTGAAAATTATCTACTGCTAAATTGTTCTGGAGAAACAGGAATAATTACTGTATGCTCATTTTTTTCAATAAATTTAAAAGTACCTCATACCATATTTCTCATCAATCACTCTTTTAAGATTAAATAAATAAGTTTCTGACACGTGATTGCTTGGACTTGTGTTTCTAAGCAGTTAAAAGAAAATTCATCAATTAGAGCTAAATACTAAGTAAAACTATTTTCCTTTTGGAATAAAAAGAAAATATAGAAGGTACTTCTTTGTTTGCTTTCTTGCTTTATTGAGAATATGGTCTATCTAGAATCAAAGTGGCATATTTGATGCAAGTACAGGAAGTTAGATGAGCATGATGTCAACCAGAAGAATAATTGGATATGATAAAATAATGAATTCACATGTAGAATTTTGACAACTTGAGCATAGCCCAGTCAGGTTTTAAGAGGAATTGTAATAGGCAAACTGAAAATAAGAACATAAAGATGCATCATAAAACAGTGGCTATAAGATCCTAGTCACTTATCTCGAGGGAGTATACATAATTTTCAATGGAAATGAAGAGGAGGCACATGCACATGTTTAGCTGGTAAATTACTCTGTGGGTGAACCAGATATCTAGTCATATAATTAGCTGAATGTCACAAATTAAAAAAAATAAGTAAAATAACAAACCAGCTGTATTTCACTGCAGCAGTTCAGCAGACTGTGAACCTCAGTATTGTGAGAAGCAATATTGCTGATAGTGCAAGATTATGAATGCATTCTCAGTCAAAAGGTTTCAATCTTTCTAAAAATTTTCTTTGAGACTGAAATATTCAAAATTAAACAGAATGTGTCTCAAGCATTTATGAAGTGCTTCGTGATTGCACATATTATTCTTAATCCCACAAAACAGAGCAGTGTTTGAATGATGTTTTCTGAGCCAAACTGCTGAGCACATGTGAGCATTTATTGCCATGAGTCTTTTCTTTCTTTTTTAATAGTATTTTTATTAATTCTTTGAGAATTTCAGACAATGTGTTCTGATCATATTCAACCCTCCTACTCCTTTCAGATCTATCCCACCTCCTACCAACAGAACTTTTAAAGGCTATATGAATATTTTATATTATAATTCATGAAGAAAGTAATGCTTAATGCATGTATAAATACCCAAAGTTGATGGAATTCTTCAGCATGAAAATACTGCATGTTGAAATTATTTCTTTATAAAATTGTATGTGCATGACTGTTTTGCCTGAATGTTTATAAGTACACGACATGCACGCAGTGCCGACAGAAGCAGGAAGAGACCATTGATCCCCGTGGAACGGGGTTTATGGGTGGTTTGTAGGCGATCGGAACCAAACCCAGGTCCCCTTCAAGAGCAGCCAGTGTTCGTTAAGTACAGAGCCGCATTTCCAGAACAAAGAAATTATCTCTTGTATTTTTCCATGTTCTCAACATTTCCCTAAAACTACAGTTCTGTAGTCTAAGCAAATGGAATGTGTCTCTTTCATATATCCATTCATTAAGAGTTCACTGTTCAAACACAGCACTAAATAGCCAAAAATGCTTTCTTAGCTATTTTACTATTCATCTAATCTTGCAATGATATTATCATTTCCAAATATAATGTGAGTAAATATCATTAATACTGTCGATAAGATAATGCTCATTTATCCAGCCATTTATTTATTCACCACACAGTGTGTTTTAGCACATTTATTCTATGTACAGAATTAATCACCCAAGACAATATGTAAAACATGATGGTGTGTCTAATTAGAGGTTGCTACTGAAATCTTTGTACATTCAAAGCAGATTAGACTAAAAGGAACAAGCCTTGGTGGACTATAGATTAAATGTTTTTATTTTTCCACACATTTCTCTAATATTCAGACAAGTTCCTATAGATAATTCCCATTCTTCTTCTGCTATGACCAAATTCACCTTGGATTTTCTCGTGTTAACACTAATTCCTTAGTCAAAACCAGCCATTTGCCAATGGGTATTCTTTCTGTCCTACTCCCCCTTCCCCAGCAAGCAGGGGAAGGCTGTGACCCTGTCTGTTCCCTATAGCTTGCTCCTCAGATTGAAGAGTCAAGAGAAGGGACAAGCTGGGTTACCTGTCTTATATTTAAGGCCTTTCTTCTAGCCTCTCAGAGTTGCTGGTAGGAACTGGAATATACAGCTTGTCAATCTAACTTTCCCCAGGTGAGGGTAATAGGGTCAACATAGACCAGAAGTGAATAATTTTAGCTTGCCATCAGGAGCTGTATTATTTTCACTTTTGGAAAAACCAAACTCAAAGAGAGTAAGACAAATGTTCAAAAGCACATCCTTTCTAAAAGCAAAGCACAGTCTAATGTGGAATGACCATAGGACAAGAGTTTTAACAGCACTGTTTATACAGATGATGTATTTCAGATTTATAGGAAATTTATATGTGTCCATCTGCACACTAACATTCCCTTGTTGAAGAAAGAGTGCTTCCTCATTTTACTTTAGCTTTAAATTTAAGATTTTCAGGATTTAAGCTTATTATACAAGTATACTCAGCAATTGTATTCCTCAAATTCTAAGCAGATATTATGCAAAAAGTTTTAAATGTCTA